ATATATATATATATATATATATATATATATACATATACACACGGTCACGCACAATGCCCCCGAGAGAAGAGAACTGTCTTTGTGCAGGCTCAGCGAGGCGGTAAACACACTGCATGGGCAAATGCATCAACACCAGCCCTCTCTCTCTCACTCTCACTCTCTCTCTCACCTGACCACTCTGGTGCCGCCTTTGTTGACCTGCATGTCCACCATACATCCCGAGTTGACGTAGGAGGCCAGGTTGATCTCTGAGAACTCGGCCTGGGGAACACAAAGGAGAAGAAATTGATTGTACTCATCCCACAACAACATACTGTAAAAGGTCAAGTTTGTCCCCAGCAATTAAACTCCCTGACTCTGTACTCGGATGCACAAAAAGGTCTTTCTGACAAACTTTCATGAAGTGAAAGTAAAAATGTTCTCTTGCGCCATCCTTTTCTGACACGTGAAAGCCATGTGATGGAGCTCCAGCACTTTTAACTTGACAGCTTTCTTATAAAGAAGAAGAAGAAAAGAGGTCAGGAAAAGTATCTCTGGCCACCAAGACAGTTCAGACAATAGATCATTTCAGGTTGACTTCATTTTACATTTGTGCATTTGCATAACAGAGAGAAAAAGACGAGTCAGAGAGAGTTGGTGAGAGGAGGCAAATGAAGTTCTCCCCAGCCGGTGGCCTCCCGGACAGGGAGAGCCTTGTGAAAGGCCGTAGCCCGGCTACCCAACGACTCAGTCAAAACTCCCAGAGATGTTTGAAAGGAGGGGCGACGGTCGACTTCTGGGAATGAACTTTTCTAGACGGACAAGGACAACTCAATATTCCTGCTCATGATTGTCGCCGTAGTCTCAAGATCTATTGATGTTAACGTTCCGACCAGATCTAGCATTCATGGAATGATCGTTTCTTCCGTCTCATTAATGGTGGCGTTCTAAACAAAAGGTTTATTACTTAATACATCGCCTGATAAAAGGGATGAGTTTTGTTTTGGAGTTTTTTTTTGTATTCAACGGATGTTCATTCTGGCATATTTCTGTAAGTATTATAATACACACTGTCAATATAGGAGTGTACTTCTGCAGGGCGTGTCAGTACAACGTGACATCACCGCTGGGTGTGGTTACATGTCGGAGGTGCCTCAAACTCACCTTATCGTGCAATAAGTATATAATACTTCGCTTTATGACCAAATACCTGCAAAACTCACGGTAATCCCATCAGCCTCAGCTGTACGTCGGGTTAGGTGCAAAATTAGCAATTGTTAGCATGCTAACACGCGCGACCAATATGATGAACATGGTTAACGGTATAACATTGTGATGGTGTGTTTCTGTGATAAAAGGAATGCAATTAGCGACACAAGGCTGTACTTGTTCTTTAATGTCAGCTTGCATTGGCCATGTTCCATGCTGGAGACGAAGACGACAGCAGAAACAGCTCATCAGTCATGCAATATATTCGGCAAAGGCCTTTCTGGATCCCGTTTAGCACATTTACTCTGTTTCCACATAAAGAGAGCGTAAATACTTTTTTTCCACAATTGAGGAAGTGTTATTGAATTCTGCATCGCCGTGGCTATTGGCTACAGGTCTACATTTGTGGCTGCTAATACAATAACAGTTTAGTGAATGCTTAAGAAGCTGCTCTCCACTGTGGTTGTGGCCCACAGAGGACGGTTCAGGTCAGAGGGATGCTCAACAGCGGCCAGTTGACCACAGACATGAAGCTCTTCACGTCACGTCTCAGTATGAGGAGTGACGCTAATGCAGTGGATGTAATGGGCCCTAAACAAGCAGCCTGCTGACTCTGCGTGGAAAAACTAAAATTTAATTTGACATGACGTGGGATCGACTACCAAACACAACGCTACCAAAACAACAACCCATGGCTGCATTTCATCTGTCTGTGAGTGCTCTGAAACCTGAGTCAGCAATGGACCAGAATCACCGACTCCCTCTTAACGCTGCGGTGTGTAATGACGACATGTTGCTCAAAGGAGAAACATAATCAGATGACGATGCCATCCATAGAAGTGCCAAACTTAGACCAGGAGTGCAGCTTTGTTCATCAGCTCTGCTGGTGATGTCACGTGTTTTGAGGAAACTACACTGGAAACTTCAAGAAACTTTGATTTGCACAAAAACATTACAGCTAGCTGTTTGACGGATGATCATAAGCTGATGCTGTGATGGCCTCGCGACAACACCACCCTGCAGCAAGCTGCTGTGCTTTGACGACTTCAACCTTCGGGCACGGTTAGCGCGTCTCCTATAGATCAGCCTCAAACTGAACTGAACCACGCCAACATGGATGGGGATGAAAGCAAATCCTCCAGCTGACCCTCTACTCAACCCAGCTCCTGCCAATTTGCATAGCGAGTTAAGTCAATTTGCTATCTACGTTCTCATAATGTGATGAGCACTTGAGCCTGGTTTAACCACGCTTTACAAAAGGCTTTCATCTCCATAAAAAGGAAATATTATCAGCAATATTCCCTCAGAGATAATTTTCCCTTTCATGCAGCGCCGTGGCCCGTGTAAACTCTGCATGGGGGAGTGAGTTGCTTCTGAAAAGAATGTGCCAACATAATGAAACTGGGGTTTTGAGTTTTTTTTGCCAAGAGAAGAAACAAACAACAACACCCACCTCTTCTAATTATTGTGTTGCACTCTCTGCGGAAGAGCAGGGGGGCGAGGAAATGCCGTAATCGTATTTAAGAAAGGGACAACGAGGCGCCAATCACACTCAACGAGCTTCAAGGACATCCACTTGGCTCCTTTCCTTTTCTCGGCTCTTCTCTGAAAGAAACATCTGTGTGCTCAGCAGCACATGCCTCGCTAAACAGGACCGCACGCTCTAACACACACACACACACACACACACACACACACACACACACACACACA